GGTCTTCTCTAGTTGCCCCTGCTTTGGCAGGGGGTTTGGCCCAGACGATCCCCAGAGGTCCCTTCCAACCCCTGCCATTCTGTGATTCTGTAAAATAAAATCCCATACCTTATTATTCATGAAGGCTCTCAAACACTGTATAACCTTATGCTGACTCCTCTTCACAACTTTGTCCTGGCTGAATAAATAAAAAATATAGTGTAATTACATGCTGTTTACATATTGAGAAAAAAATGGTATTTTTATGTGAAATCGTCCTTACTTTTTTGTCTCAACCAGTCTTTCCAAAACATCCAAAAGCAGCCCCAGACCTTCTCGGCCAAAGTTTTCAACCCAGCTAGGGAGAAAGAAAAAACACATTAAAAATATATAACATATAAAAGACTAATTACAATGAATGAAATTTGTCAGTATAAATAAAAGCAGTAGAACTGGATCATTTTAAAAACCCAAATCGACTCTTTACTCAACAGAAGATCAAGAGCCATTCCATTCACTCATTGATGCAAATCACCTTAAATTAAAAAATATTCAAAAAATTACAGTAGTCATTCAATTTACTAATTTTAAATTAACAATTATACATTCTTTGGCACAGAACTGTAATTAAAAAACCCTTGCAAAGGAAGAGGAGAAAAACAACAAATTTCTACTACACACTGTTCTAGGGTCTCCTCGAAAGGTCAGAATCTACCCATAAATGGCAGAGAAAGAAGGAAAAGCTTAAAGGAATTGCACAATTGGCTGCCTGAGATATTAATCCATAGGAGTATCTCCAAGTGTACACAACAAACATTTAAAATTTTAGCTATTCCCAAAGCTATCATTTGGTGAGGTTAAACCTGAGCACACTGTTTCTACATGAGACATCTGCTTCACAGTACTGTTTATTATTGCTCAAAACCCCTTGATATCAAATACGAGTAACTGCATGACTCATAGCAATACTGCAGCCATCCCTTTGACAGTAGCTGTTGGTCTTGCTGAAACCATGATGGTTGATCAATTACCTAAGCCTAAAGTTCATGGACAACAGTCATTCATAGTCATAACAGAAGGAATATTTTGCTCTTTACACTTCTTTGTCTGTGTAAGTCACAGATATTTTGAACTTCAGACTTCTAATTTCCACTGGAGGAAGGAGAAGTTGGCTGCAGAGGCAACAAATACATATACAAGCAGAGAAACTGCAGAGGCTATTTGCTCAGGAAATTCCTTTTATGAAGTGTGCAGTTATGAATTCATTCCATAACTGAATATTACAAGTACTTGAATACTCTTCTCTTTCCATAAGAGGCAGGAATATTTCCTGACACCTTTAGTCAACTTTCCATACTACTGCCATAAGACAAATCCTTGGTTCTCTTATTATTCTCTTTGGGCAACAAGACAGAAAACTGTTTCATAATGGGTATCTCTTCCATTCTTTGCCCACTTTTATATTAGCATATTACTTTTATCTATTAACCGATTACACAGCCATCTCTGTTTAGAACAGCTATAGTTAGCATGATGAAAATGTAGTACTTTTTATCATCTTCATCATCGAAACACGGATTCTGTTGTGGGTGTAGTACCAATAGTTTCTGTACATTCTTGAAATCACTACTTAAAAAAAGCTCCAGCTGAGGAAATCTCTTCTTATACATTAACAAAATAAAGTGTTTTACGTAAAAAGGAAGCATCCATTCTGCAACATCAGAAATTCAACATCAAGACGTTGATCAGGATTAGTAAAAAATTACATTGTTTGCTTTACTTGCATTATAGCCTCTCCATTGTTTTCTCCATTTTGTCTATTTACACGCCATTGTACCCACTGGGAAAATTTATTTATCACCACTTTTAAATACGAATCAGAATATTTAGATACTCCTATAACAGTGGGACCTTACTAGAGACAAATGATAAGCTATTCTGTTGGAAATAACACCGGGGAGATGCAACACCTCTTTTGAAATACATAGTACTTCTAAACAGGATCAAACAGTAGTTCTTATCTGCTAGATACTAAACTGTAACGGACTTCAAATTATAGGAAGAGAGAACCAGATCAGATGCTTTTATATGTTTTTTCCCCCTAAAAGTAAATATATATGAAAATAGATTTTCTCCTTCCTGGATGGTTATTTTGTTCTGAAACAGATTAGGCAAATAACTGTTAATTGTTTTTGGTATAACTGGCCATATCTGACCTAAAGATAATCCTACTAAATATTTCTTAGCACATTTTGTGTTAGACAGAATTCTGCACAGCCACTTTGTCATACATGCAGCAGCTGAAGATGCTGAGAATGATAAAGTGCCTAAAAAATTGTTGCATTATTACTGCCCTTTCCTTTGCTTCCACAAAAGAACAAAGATTACTTACGCTACCCAGAAGCAAACAGTCAGCTTTTTGTCAGTCTGACAAAACACCAAGCTATTAGTGCCCCTATTTTCATTTTATTAAAAATGTCCTCTTAATCAAAGAGCTAAATCTGTTGCAACTATTATACAGAAGGAGAAGAAATAGTTGTAGATAACCAGTTATCTGTAACACTATGTACAGCTAGATCACTGAACATTTTTTATGCTGTGTTGGCAACTGTGAGGTAAAAACACCCCATTTCTTTACCTGAAGCACAGTGACCAAAGTCAGTGGATACATTTTCCTTCTGAGGCTTTCTTTTTACAATGATGGAAAATAAATACTACTTTTTGCAGTAAGCCATAGATTTCAACATATTTTTCTAAGTACCAGGATCAAACTACTCAGTATCACTTGATCTGGATTTTCTCTGTGAATTAAAAATACATTTTACAAAAACGACTGACTGAAAACAACGTTGCAGTTCTTGCATCAGAAACCAAAGTGTCAGTAAGATTAAAAAGTTGATTAAAATATAGTAATTGAAAAAACAGCAAAAAACCCTAGATTATATATTGTCAAAAAGATCACAGCCTACAAATGTGAAGATCGTCAGGCTAGACCGAATCTAAATTTAATTCTCATCCTGTTTTAAAGGCATAAATTTATTCTTAGGTATCATACATGCACAAAATAAAATCCTCAAGTTTCATCAGTTATTTCTCATTCTCCAAATCATATGAATTCGGAATTAAAAATGATCATGGATTTACAGCAGCTAGACTGGAGTTCAGTATTCACATATCAAAGCAAGTTCTTAATGATCTGGCTGCCGACAGGAAACCAAGGTCACCAATACCGGCATCCAATGCACATCTACTGTTGTTATTCATTAGAAAGAAGGGGATGTGGTTTAAAAATGTTGACTTCACAAATTTTTATTATGAGGAACAGTGTGCTGCTGCTACATTTTTGCTATTTTTGTATATCACCCCTACAGAGGAACTACGTTTTTTCGTAAGCTATTTCAAAATGCTCTGTTTAAGCCTAGTGAGATCTACGTCAACAGTTGTCTTAAGTATCACAGCACACCAGAAGACTGTTTCAGGACCCTTATGTTCTTTTGGTTGCGACCCTTCTTTTAATTTGTAGACTAAAATGCATTCACGGACAAGTAAAAGAGAATTTTTTTTTTTAATGAAACTGCTGCCTACTGAAATACCTCTTCTCTGGTGTTTTTGCAAGCCAGTCACGCTCCTTCCAATTCAAATTTCTCAAACTCAGACCTGCCCTTAGGCCATACACCCATTAAGTTAATTAGTTTCATGTCAATCCAAGCATTTTAGTTCTTTTATGTCGTCTCTTACATTCTGCTTAATGTTTCAAATTGAAGTTAAATTTTAATAAATTATGGTCAAGTTAAGACAGATTCAACTGTCAAATTTTCTACCTATCATAGTTTATATTTCACTAAACAAAGTTAAAGCCAGTGTTGCAATCTAGAAATATTTGTACAAAAGTCAAAGAAATTAATCTCTCAAAAGCTTCAGTGAAATACTCTGATATCAGCAGTGCATCATACTCTTATAGCATCCTTTGATGGATTAACATAAAACACACTAAGCTTACAAAAATGAAACTTTTTTCCCTTTTTCTATGCACAAAAGTACTTGTTTTTTCCCCTGTAGTTATAACATGCATCTACAGATTTCTAATCCTTACCTTACTCAAAGTGAAACATTTGTGGAAAACCTACTTAGTCCAAAAATTCGTAATATTTAGTTGCTGTAAACCTTCTAAGTTCCTGTACTTTATTCTTGCAGATAATATTGATCGCCAGACTTTTAGTATTGGTCAGATGCTCTATTACAACATCATAGTCAAATTCAACTTGCATTCTTTATCAAATGCCTCAAGTATAGGCCAACACCATTCCCTCATAGCTGGCCTCCACATTCCTTATTCTGATACCATTTCTCCATCTTCCTCGCCCCTTGATGTCCAATGACATTGTTCTGTGCTGTCAGAGAGAACTAGAACCTCACCAAGATCATGGGTTTTGGTCTGTTTTGGTTTTTTTGAGGGAGGGGGATTAACTTTTCTCTTGGTGTGTGGGAAAGGGATCACAAACTAAAAGATGAGACTATCCAGTCATATCAAGAACAGAGAGAAGAGATTGCTCCAGACCAAAGTTGTCACGTTTCATACGTTGTGTGTTTCTATTTCCAGATGCGTACTAACAAGCAAAGTTTTCTTTGTTAAATCAACATAAGTGTAAATTAAAAATATCTCTGGGGTCGTGGGTTGTTGTTGGGTTTTTGGCTTTTTGGGGTTGTTTTTTTGGTTTTTGGTGTTTGTTGGTTTTTTTTTTTGTTTTTGTGTTTTTTTCAATAAAGAAGGAGAAGTGATACTATATCAAAAAGTAGCTTCACATTCATGAAGGAAGTATATCTCCTGTAAAACCCTCTGTCAGAAGAGCTCAGATTAATACGAAGCATGTTTCTTCCCATGTGAACCATTACATACTCTAAATAAGACAATCCAATTAAAAAACAAATTAATACAGGGAAAGAAGCAAACACCAATACAGAAGACCCACATGAACAACTCTCCCAAGCCAGATGCAGAAAGAAGAAAGTTTCCTAATCCTTTTTTAATCACACCCCATCATAAGCACCCCCAACATTTCCTCTGCATTATTTTGAACTAAACCCAAAACAGTTTCCCAAAATCATGTGTTCAACCAGTGGCTTGAATAGGAACTCTAAAACAAAAGCTTATAAACAGAGTAGAATACAAAAAAGTATAATTTAAAAAAATAAAGCCAGCATCTACAAATCAAGCTGCACAGATAAAATCAAAACTAAATATAAAGACCGATATCAGTGTTAGAGTTACAATTACCACAGAGTTAGTCTTTTTTAAGAAAAAGCACAGGTAAACTAATGTTGTGCTCTGCTGTGCTCAGATAAAGCCCACAGATACAGCAAAAGTTACTAGAAGGCAGCAAGGGAGAAAACCGAAAGCACACTGGACAGAAGCAGAAGCAAACAATCGAAAAAAATATATGTTTTTAGCTAACAAAAATGAAAAAAACTTTTGACTATTTAGCACTAGAAAACAAACTGAACTGCCCTGCACTACAGTTGTTTTACATTCTCTTAGCAATACCTTGTACAGATCAGTGAACTCTACTGAAAAATAGACCTACAGAAGATATATAATCAATGAAAAAAAAAAGAAAAAAGGTGCAATCATTCACTAATGCATACATATTCATTAACTGGAAAAACCTGAAACAGGCACATCTTCAGCTTCATTAATTTTAAACCATTAAAAAATAAGAATATGATTTATCTTTGCAATATCTGTTAATGATGTTACCTGACAGGATTACTAGTCAAGGACACACGGAGAGATTCTAAGCAAGTGACTAGTCTCTCATCTGTTGACCCAGATTTTAATTCCTGAATAAACTCTTGAGGTGAAATCTTCCGCCTGTTCTTGAGACTTCCCTGAAATACAGAAAACATACTCTTTTTATTTGGCACATACAGAACTTGAATAGATTGTCAATGGCTGACCTTCATTTATGTTCCTTGAAAAACCACGGGGGGGGGGGGGATACAATTTAGTCCTAAACCTGTAACTGTTGTCCATCTACTATATATGCTAAATAATGACAACATTTGTGTCAATTTATAAACAAATTAATAAACAGTAGTCAAAAGCAGCAGGCATCAAATGCAGAAGTGTATCACGCACACCCAGTGAAATACAATTTTTGTAATGAATGGATTCTGTTTATGCATTGCAGACATCTTAATTTTCAACACTCAAAAGAACCAAAAAAAAATTCTGAGGTGCTCTAAAGAGATCACAGGGCACAGGTCCAGAAGGGTGACTGCAGTCATAGGAGAATAGAGCGAAGAACCAGTGGACCAGAAAAGTACTCAGGATGTTATTGCAGTAACTTGAGTTCTCGCAGATAACGTTGTAAAACACATTTCCCTTAAAGGTCCTTCAGATGAGGAATAGATGAGGCTGGGATTATGAAGACAGACTAGCTTTGGCTCTAATGGCTAAAACAAAAGAACTTAAAAAATAAAAATAATAATAATAAACAGACTTCTCCAGAACCACCGAAGTTCTAAAGATAAATCCTAGCTCCTCATTTGCTGTATTTGCCATCTGTAAGAATGAAGTGTAACACAAACATGACTATTGATGCAATAACTCAAGAACACTTGCTCAACCTTTGAGTTTGGATTTTGTCTTGCTTTTGGGGTTTTGCTCTTTTTGGCAAGTGAGGAGGCAAATGAGGACATGAAAAACAGGGAGATAGAAAGGAAAATGCAATGGCAAGTTAATGCAGCACTGTAAAAAGAGTTTTGTGCAAGCAAAATATTTTCTGTTCCAAGTAATATAGGTTGAAAAACACTGACTTTGACTCATCACTGTGTCTGTGGTGTCAAATGTTGCTTAAAACACATTCAAGATATTAATGACTCTTCTGAAGGATATACAGTATCCTTTGTTTTCAACAAAGCACCGGCTACACTGAACTAATGAAGCTCTACAATTTGCAATTAAAAATAGCAAATCTAAGAGGCACTGACCCTATTCTTAAGGGTATCCTCCTCCCCTTTGTTTTTTTTTAAATAGCAGCAAAGAAAAAAGTTGTAGACAGTGGAAAAGAAGCTTACTCCACCTAATATCCATTTATGACATGAAGAAGGATAGATATATTTTCTACAGAACACATCCAAACTCCAAAAAAAACAGGTATACAATGAGGTATACAACCTATATTTGACTTAATTCATTGGAAAGACTCCTCTTGAGAACAGAAGCACAACTACTCTGCCACACAGCACTAAAAGACTGTTACTAAATAATACTTGATTATATAGTGGCTAAAGACAGGAGTTGAAGATAATTAAACTTTCAGTGCCATAAAAACTTCAAATTATCCACCGTAAATGGTGAGGCAGTCTTATTATGTTATTATAGAGACCTTCATACAGAAGATGTTTTCTCACTTTTGGTAGATCCTCAAGAAGTACTGAAAAATAAACTTTTCTCCTCCTGAAGCAGAAGATGATGAAATTCTAGCAGTGACATGAAGCTAAACACTGGGACGAGTGCTTGACAGACCAGACTGCTGTGCTGCCATTCAGAGGGACCTCAACAGACAGAAGTGGGCACAGGAATTTCAGGGAGTTTCACAAGAGGAAACACTAAATCCTGAAGGTGGGGAGGAATAGTCCCATGCACCAACACATGTTGGGGCTAACCAGCTGAAAAGTACGTTTGTAGCAAATAAAAAAAAAATAAAAAAAAAAAAAGTGTATCACCAGCTGGTCAAGAGAGATGATCCTCCCCCTCAGCTCAGCAGTGATGAAACATCTGGAGCACTGTGTCCAGTTCTGGGCTCCCCAGTACAAGAGCGACATGGATATATTGGAATGAGTCCAGAAAGGGCTATGGACACAATTAAAGGAGCATCTGTCACACAAGGAGAGGCTGACAGTACTGGGATTGTTTAGCCCCAAGAAGAGAAGGCTCAGGGAAACCTGACCAGTGAAAGGACAAGAGGCACAAATTAAAATACAGGCAATCGATTAAACATAAACACAAAATTCCTCCCTCCCTCTTTTTTTCTTTTTTTAACCATCAGGTTGGTCAAGCACTGGAACATGTTACCAATGCAGACTGTACAGTCTTCTCTATCAGAGATAAAAAATAGGCTAGATAAAGGGCTGGACAAGCTGATCTCCAGAGGTCTTTTCCAGTCTCAATCATTCTATTCTATGACTCTCTGATAAGGGAACATTGGGAAGATATTGGGGGCTATACTACCTCTCTGCTCCAACTATATATCCTCAGAATTGAGAAACAGATGTTCTAGATGCCAGAAAACACACTACTTCCAAGAACCACCCTGAAAACAGTACAGCACTCCATGCTGTATTTTGGTACACCAAGTGTAGTACACGGAATGCTATTCCAAACATGCCTCTGAACTGATGGAGATCCTATTTGCTTAAAAATGAGAGTCATTTTCAATAACTATGTTCCACAAAGAAGTAGATGAGATGACCAGGAAGGGATGAGGGTTGGGGGGAGCCTTAGAATTAGAGATCTAGGAAACCCAAACCAAAAAAAATATCCTTAACAATAAATTTTCCCACTGACAAAAAGAAACTAGGTCTTTTCAGGTTTCTTTCATGTTCTGTGTTTAGTTCATAGCCACATAATACTCAAGTCAGAAAGGCTCTACAGCAAGGGAACTTACTTAGAATCATAGGCTGGAAAAGACCTCTAAGATCATATCTGTAATTTGTTTGTTTGTTTAATAATCACTACATGTAGGTGGAATTCTGACTTCGAGGCATTCAGTCATAAGGTACCACAGATGGTAGCCTCGCGCCAGTGGCTCCTCAGCCAAGCACACGCACCAGGGGTCTGAACCTGCGGTTCCTCTTGTGCTGAGCAGGACTACTATTGCAACAGCATCAGGTCATTGTTGAAGTCAGGGAACTGGTTCAGCTCCTTCAGCTTCTCCTGCACGACGGCGAGCACGGCACACGGGCCCCTCAATCTTTAATCTCCACAGATATTCTTTAGGTCCAAGAGCCAACATATACATTGGTAACACCAGGAACAGAACACCACCTCCTCAAAAACACATCTAGTTGGCAAACTTCTTCCATGAATAATTTACGCTCCTCACCAAGGTGGTATAATTGCTTGCACCTCCATGAGGCAAGAAAGCTCAGCTCCCCTACAGCTTTGACACAGCTATATCTACAGAAGAATGAAAAAACAGCTGGAGAGAATCTCCAAGCTAAATGTAGAAGATCCTAAACAAAACAAAAAAGCATTCATAACATTTAGAACTAAACATCAGACTTGATAAAACATGAAAGGCAAAAGCTACTATGCCATGAGTTGCCCGAAACAGTATGAACTCACTGGCTAAGGGGAACTGGCAACCAGAGCTTTTGTCTGGTTATTCAAGAGCTTATATACTGCACACACCCATCCTGTTAGAATAATCGCCAAACATTCTGAGACTAAACAATATATACCCCTGAGGCACAATCAGGGGAATTTGACTTACAACTGTGATACAAGGTGGAAACTGTTACAACTGCAGTGTAACAGGGGATCAGGGCTGTGCCTGTATGAATATGCAGAATATACAGTTCCCAGTGCGATCTCAGATCCTCCCAGCTGGTCTGTGCATAGATGAGACAACAGACTGACTAGAGACACGATGACCAAACTCCCAGCAGCCTTCATGACAAAGTATTTAACTAAATGTTACAGGAGCTCTCCAGTTGAAAATTTCAAAAAAGTCCCAGAATTTCTCCTGGCAGCTCCTGCTGTGCATAGACTAGTTGATAAGCACTGCTTGTATGCCTAAGCATATGGATTAATACCCTGGGTGGAGAATCTGTCATTTCCAGTGACTTCCCCCAGCAGTTCCTGCTGTAAAATTGACCAAGTTGGATATAACTAAGATACTTATAGTCAATAAAATTGCTTTATTTTCACACAGAAACAGTCACATAGGACAGTCATATGGACAGGACACAGACAGGATGGTTAGAAGATATTTTGAAAGTAATTTAATATAATCAGTAGCAATGTGGGCAGTGTAAAGGTCACATGGGACAAGAACCCAGCCAGATTCTACGAATTCACTAGAATGACATTTCAGAGAGTCTCATATGACCCATCTGAAGACAGTGTCACAAGCAATGGAGACTCACACCAATACCCAGACAGTAACCAGCCATCCCGTGTCAGACTCCGTTCCCCACCTGAACACTACCCTAGGCAAAAAGATGTCAATAAACTGCCAGTGTCTGTGCAGCATGCCCACAGTACCAAGTACCACTTATTGATAGCTACACCAAGGTTCTGCAACATAATAAGAATATGATACATCTGCCAGTGCTTAAATAAAATGAGAGCTGCATTTGGTACCAATTGTGAAACTGATTATATTAGCTATATTTCTGCATGGGAAAAGCTGCTTGAGTTCAAAATGCTTGAGTTAACTGAGAAACAGGAAATATCTTGAGGCATCAGTGCCTCTAGAAATCTAATTGCTCAGCTGAAGAACAACTGGTCTGTGAGCAGATGCAGTATGAAGTCAGCATTAATTAATTCAGTTAAAACACTACAAGGGAGTAAACTGCACAACAAAAACAAAATATTGTGAAGAAAACTCACTTAAAAAACCCAGTTTGTGTGTGTTCAACATACAGAACAGCAAAACATATGGTAGAGTAACATTATAGCAATGCTATTTTTTTTTTCCACTTGAATATTAACTCCATATCACGGAAACTGATTTTTTTTTTTAATTTTCTTGGCTGGAATATCTTTGTATGTGTTTATCTAGCACTTCAAAATGTGACGCTCAAATAATCATAATACATACAAAACAGCTACAAAACCACAGAAAATACATTGGATATGTATTTTCTAACAACAAACAGAACCACACTGCTCTTGCTAGATGAGAATTCACTCTTTAAACACAACTGTTGTTCCCTTCTCCAACTGTTTCCTGATAAATAAGACATGACAATATAGCACACAAATTTCATTCAAGATTTCCAAGCCATGATGGTTTAAACAACACGTGATATACATCTCTTTAAGGGAAGAAAAAAGTCTTCATCTAAACACTACACATTACAAGAAAACAAGGAAGTACTAGCAGAATACTGAAGTACGTGAGCAGAATTCTTCCAAGCATACAATTTTTACTACCATTCAAATTTTCAGGAAGTACTACTAGAACCCCAAACTCCAAGACTGTTTATTTTTAGCAATTCTTTTACAGGGAGCCCCTGAACACATTGTAAAGAGTGATGGTAACAGCATACTTACAAACATATACAGACATATATAGAGAAGCATGCTTTCACCCAACTATTTAAGATGTCTCTAGGCAAAGTACAGTGAGAAGAATGAGTATTGGATGATGCACATCAGTGGAACTCTGGTCACTTTTAAGTAACTTTGAGTCCTGAAGTGATGGATTCATTCTAAACATTTCAAGTGTAAACAGAGGTAGGTCACAGTATTCTATACACAAATAAGCACTTGAGCATAGCCCCACCAAATCCAGCATACTGATGCATCTAGAAATTAACACACATTTGCTCTGAGAGTATCTGAAAGGAGTTCTGCATCTCTAAGAAACAGAAACCCTGAGACTGCGGTCAGTGATGAAGCTTTGACTATAGTGGAGTATACTTTGCTCACTAGAGGCTGCTTCATTTTCAGTGATCCATTAGAGGCACAGCCTCTGTTCTTCATTTTAATTTTTTTTTATAATAACTGCTTTAAACGAAATCTGCTCAGTACTCTACATAGCAGTTGCAAATGAGGATATTTGTCCAAACACAATCCAGCTTAGTACCCGTCTCCCTAAAGTTTGAGAAGTATCAATTAGCAAAAGATGTTACTGCAGTATCACTCACAGAAAGAGAGACCTGAGATGGGGTTAGTTGTACGTAATATTCAGGAGCTATACGGCACTTCAGCTCTTCTGAAGAAGTATGACACTCATCAAGTCAAGGTACACCAAAATTTAGCCAAGTACCCTGGTGTACATGCAGTGTACTATTCATTTCAGACTGAGCAGACACTCAGTCCAGTGCACCTGAGGCATGAAAGAGCATGCCAGGAACAAAGAGTTTGCAAGGTCAAGAGAAGTTACTCATCCCAGTAGCTCCAGCACCAAGCCGAATTCATCTGCATCACTACTGTATCAAACAGCTGAATCTATGCATCACCGAAACAGCTTCTCCCAGTAATACAAACACCATTTCCAGTAAGAACAAAAAAGTAGGACGAGTTCAGTAAAGATACGAGTTTCCCCACATTAATTAGTCTCCGGTGATCTCCCACAGCAGAAAGCGGGATAGGTGGGCTGGCAGCGGAAAAGGGAACAGAAACAAACAAATGCTGTTGGGGGCTTTACGAAAACATGCAAGACTACAGTGTGCAGAAACAAATCCCTACCCTGGGGGAGGACCTCTGCAACAGAGTACCGTGCATAGCTGCTTTGGGCATAGTGCAACAAGCTCCAGTGCCGAAAAAAAAGCATGAGGACAACCAAAGAAGAAAAAAAATAGTTATTGCAAATGGCACTCAAAGAAGGATCAATGAAACCTACTCTGCTATAGGCTTCAATTCTCTGCAAGTATTAAGCACCAGGAAGTAAAGAGCTAACATGAAAACTTGTTTTTTTGATAAAGTGAGTCTTAACATCACCATCATCATGAAGCTAAGATTCCAGCAACAGATGCAGCAACTCTGTAAGGCCAGCCATGTCCTATTGTCACACACTTTTTAGATCAAACAACTGAGGTCTTGGAATGTATGTGGAGGCTAGGGGTGTCAATGACATACAAACCTTGACATGCTGTTTTGGGCTGAGAAACTTCAAGAATCTTGTGAGATTTACTAGCCTGAAGTTTCCTGATTTCCCATGAAATATCTCTAAAACACAGGCGTGACAGTATTAAGGAACTTTCATGCTAGGACTAGTAACTTTCATAAGTTCATCTTAAATAAAACAATCTCTAGACAGTTCAGTCCTGCACTAGGCTCCTACCTTCCCAAAAGTGTTAGATCATTACATTAATAAGGTACATCATTTAAAGCAAACAATAAGAAAAATGCTTCACTTAAATTACTGTATTTAATGTCTTCTTTTCTCAGTATTTAGTTATAATTGCATATAGGCCATTTTTTTCCGATATCTCTACATGCATTGAGCAGTGAGAGTCAAAGAACCTAATACATTAATTCTAAAACAAAAAGGTCTGAGGACAATATCAGCACTGCAGCATTTAGCACTGGAGTCCGCCCCCATTTTGCAAAAACTAAAGTGGTTTTTCTTATGCCAACTTAATCCTTAAACTGCTCAGTACACAACTCCTTGCACTTCTCTAAAACAACCAGTAATTATCACAATAAATAAAAAATGGGCACTACTTGGGTTCATGTGCAACAATTACTATCAACTATTACACAGCATCACAATGTGAATTCTGTACTGAAGTCAAGTATGAAAAAGGCTAATGAGTTAAGGAATGCTTTTTAAACTGTGCTAGTATAGAAAAAAGGTTCACAGCAAACTTTTCCAAGAAGTTTTCTGCAGTCTTTCCATTTCTGCTAATAGCCATACCTTTACCAAAAAGAAATGCTGTTCTGTGTACAGAAGATGCACCTCAAGTACAAGTGAATATCTTTCATTGCAGCTTGTAAAATAATGGGATACTGCCCTTTAAAAATGTTCATGTCTACGAGAAACAAAAGTCAGTCAAAAGAATGTAACATGCATGTATCACTTTTTCTCTCCAGTAGGAAATTCTGTAAACATTAAGTCATTTTTGGTGTACTTCAGAGAAATTTACTTACAGACTTTGAAGCACTGCTAATATATTGCATCACCATTTCTTTTTTGGTATTAAAATCCTTTTCTCTCAATGGCATCTTCTTGTCTTCATTTAAATTCATATCTTCCTAGAATGGGAGGAAAAAAAAAAGAAAAAAAAAGAAGTTTTAAATGTCATAGTTAAACAACTGTGTTGGTGGATAAGAGACTGATTTGAAAAATAAAAAAGACACAAAAATATGAACTTGAGCAACTGACAACTTTTCATAAGTTAGATGTTACTCAAAACCGTAAAAATCTTTATCCATCTTCCCTAGCAACTCCGACTGAAAAAAAGTCAACTACGCCAGGATGAACAAGAGCATCACAACCATTAGTAGCATAACCTCTTCTTGGAGATCGCCTACAGTCTCACACACACGCTAAACTACAGAAAAGCGTTATTTAACATCTCCTAAAACATTTATAAATGTACTCAATATAGTCTCTTAAAAAGATCTTTTTAATGATATATCCGTTTGTTCTATAATTCTGTTCCTCAATTCCCAAATACTTAATCCTGGGAAGCAGAATCTACTTTGCGCTGAGAGTTGTTCACAAAATAATATTCACCTTTGCAATCGGTAAGGCCTAAATTCTTGACGATTTGATAATTAAATCAACACCCCTATCTATCACAATTCATTCATTCCAACCTAAACCCAGAGGTCAAAAGGAACAGATGCAGAACCACATTCAAAGCCACACAGCAGCTATTCATTGACATTTCTGACACAGGGACTTCCACTGTTCCAGCCTAGAAATGCTCTGATCATTGTAATCAGGTCCACATCTGTGAGAAATGACATTTCCTATCATGCTGGAGGTAAAAGTAGCAACCAAACAAAAATAGGCTTTAAGAAACAATTTAGGCACACACACATAGGAGCGCAAACAGCATTACTATGGTCACCCAAGCTTAGCAAGATTTACTGCAGTTATTTTCAGCTGAGGCTTATGAGCCCCACCAGCACTGGCAAGACCAGTGCTATGAAACCAGTGAGTAACCATCATGATATCAAAGGTATTTCACCTACTCAGAAATCAAAGACAAACAGCAAGCAAACTCACAACCTTAGAATCTTAAGAAAAAAAACCCCTAAAGACCAAAATTATACACTACACTGAAACTCAAGTTTCATCATCTTTTGCTAGTTTTCATATTGAATAGGACAGAATCAAGCACAGCTCCTAGAAACATTTTTAGAGTTTTGTATAAATCTGAGCTGTGAGAACACATTGCAGAAAATGCTTGACCCCTTAAATTGAACTTCAAAGTACAATTAGGGCAATTTTGTGTAGATTTTTGCCCCCCACAAGTGTTACTGTATTATTTCCTTAAGGACTAGAAAAAGTTCCTCACTTCAGTCTAGCATGTACTGAAATTATTAATATTTATTACATTAGTACTTTTATTATTTGATACTATATAATGGATTTATAGTATCAGATTTGTATATTTGATACACACTATATTATTTGATTCTTTTAGTATCAAATAAATACAGGATGTATGTTGTAAAAAGTTCTTTCATTCAAGCAATAATATTACAGTCTTTTGCCTCCTTGGCAGGTAGCTTCCATATTGGTGTTACTTCGTACATCTGCAAGTAAATGCAAAACAACTTTGTCTAAACAAGCCGGAATTAACGAGGCCACACACACTTCAATCTTTTCTCATAGTTTCTCCATGAATTTTTTGATCAAAGCAATGCAATATTTTGAAGAATAAAACTATTTGCTTATGCCCAAACTCAAATTCTAGCCATGCATAAGGACACACATACTCCTGAATATTTTGAAAGCTGCCTCATACTAAATCAAATGTCAGGGACACTATCTTGAAAGCGCATGCCGCATTTTCTAGCTCTTCTTGGATGCAAGCAAAACAAAAAACTGCTGTGATTTACTTAATGATGGGAAGCCTGGTGTGATTCAAAAATGCTGTACAAATTCAAATATCCATACTAAAAAAGTGTAAAACACAGGCTTAAATTCATACACATTAAAAACACTGCTGGGATCCTATATTGCATGCAAAGAGCTCAATTTCTTCCAAGACATAAAAAGTGGAAATTTTTTTGCACATGTATACCTCGTTTGGAAAAAAAGTGAAAGATATTTAAAGATATTTAAAGTTACTTTTTTTCAATAAAAGCTTTCAAAACTTTTTTGAAATCAAAGCTTGCAAAAGTCACTGCAGCTTTTTTGAGAAACACCACATAATCACAAAAAGCAGTGTTTTTAGTATTTCAAAATCAAAAATTGTTTTGGTTTGGCCTGGATAAATGCCAGGTGCCCACCAAAACC